TTGTTCCGTCTACCCCATCTCAAAATACGGTTGGCTGCAAGTGGGTCTTTCGGATCAAACGTACTTTTGATGGTCTTATTGAGCACTACAAAGCCCGTCTTGTTGCCAAGGGTTTTCATTAACAACCAGGTATCGATTACGCTGAAACCTTCTGCCCTGTTGTCAAACCTGCCACCATCCGCACAGTTCTTACTATTGCCATCTCCCGGGGATGGTCCCTCCGCCAACTTGACGTAAAAAATGCTTTCCTCCATGGCATTCTCAACGAAGATGTCTACATGGCTCAACCAACAGGTTTTGTTGACCCTACCCGCCCTAATTATGTCTGTAAGCTTCACAAGGCCTTATATGGCCTCAAGCAGGTACCCCGTGCATGGTTCCATCGCATTAGCTCGTTTCTTCTTTCCTTCAGCTTCCAACACAGCCAATCTGATTCTTCTCTTTTTATTTTTAGGCATGCCTCTTATGTCATATTTTTATTGTTATATGTTGATGACATCATGGTCACAGGAAATGATTCCAGTTTTCTTCACCACTCTGTCACTACATTGGGCCTTGCCTTTGATATTAAGGATCTTGGTCCGCTTCATTTCTTTTTGGGCCTTCAAGTTACCACCAAATCTGATGGCCTTCATATCTTACAGTTGAAATATGCCCACGACCTACTACAGCGTCATGGCATGCTCCACTGCAAACCTGCCAATACTCCATTGGCCGCCAAAGTTCCTTTGTCCACTTCCGACGGTGTGCCCCTGGAGTCTCATTCTGACTACCGTGAGATTGTTGGCAGTTTTCAATACTTGATATTAACTCGCCCGGACTTATCCTTCGCTGTCAACTCCGTTGCTCAGTTCATGGCTGCCCCTCGCACCTCTCACCTTATCGCTGCCAAGCGGATCTTACGGTATGTCAAAGGCATGCTCGACTTTGGTATCTCTCTTAGCTCGCAACCACCCACTGCTCGCCTCAATGCCTACTCCAATGCAGATTGGGCTGGCTGTCCAGATTCGCTTCGGTCTACCAGTGGCTACCTCATCTATTTGGGCTCCAATTTAATCTCCTGGTGTTCCAAAAAGCAACCCATTGTTGCCTGTTCAAGTGCGGAATCCGAGTATTGCTCCCTTGCGTACTCATGTGCTGAGACTACCTGGCTCTCCTATCTACTCTCCGAGCTTGGTGTTTCTCTCCACTTTCCTATTCTCCTTCATTGTGACAACCTGAGTACGACATACATGGCTGCAAACCCGGTCTTTCATGCTGGGACGAGGCATATCGAGCTTGACTACAATTTTGTGCGTGAAAAAGTAGCTCTTGGAAGCCACCAAGTTCGTTATATTCCCTCTATTGATCAGCCAGCTGATCTTCTTACTAAGGCCATACACAAGCCACGCCATGCTCTCTTAAGATCCAAACTTGTCCAACCAGCGCTGTCCAGTTTCCCCGGGGAGGGGGGTGTCAATCAAGCGATCACAACCATTATTTCCTTCACTGATGAATCTCTAAATGATGCTGATTGATATCATGATCTCCAAATGATTTGCTACGGTTAATAGCCTTTTGTATTTACCAAAATAATTCCATCAAAAGTCAACTGTATTATATATATATATATATATTGTACAATTGTATCCAAATGAATATCAAGAAATTACATTCTTTACAACTTTCATTCCATCAAACAATTGTGCTAAACAATGAGGTCAGATTTCAACTTTTGCCATTCTGGTGACCACAAAAGAACTATATTGCATGCAATGGCGGAGCCAGGAATTCTATCAAAGATGGTCAACTTTAAATAACTTTATAATTACATTAAACTTAGTTTTTATAAGAAAATATATTTAAGAATTCATTATAATGATTAAATTTCAATATCACAAATTTCATATCTTAGTAAGTATAACCCAAATTCTAGCAACCTACAAATAATGAAAGAGTATCAAAAGCTGATTTTAGATAGAATGAGAAACTCAAATAAAATCTATGGCACATGCATATAAATGACATATGAAGACATGCAAACAAATATAGATCATATTCATGTTTATTGCAGACAACGTACATTTGCGAGAATGGTCAATAGTAAATATAGATATAAAGCAACTTGGATAATATAGATAAATATAAGGTTTTCAAAATGTTGAGAAGGGTCAAGTGACCCTTCTGGGCCTTGATTGGCTCTGGCAATGATCGCATGTGTTTTCCAAGGTGGTTATCTAACTCCTAGTTATTTTAGGGTCTTTCTATTAGTTTTTTCGGCTAGATGTTTGCAGATATCTGTAGATTATCGATATTTAACTCTTTATTGTTTTTTCCTTGATGTTTTTGTTTGATTTTGTGGATCTACGTATCAATTGGTGTTTTGGGATCATGGAGTGAATGAGAGACAATATAACAATGTGTCATGGTGGAAGTTGAGTAGTGTATATGCCCTTTCACTTGGAGGTGTCTTCTATCCCAAGCTCTAAGAGAATCCTCATCTCTCACGTGTAGGACTGGCAATGGATCGTGTCATGCTGGGATAATAAATGTGTCAAGAATGCTCAACCTGAACCCGACCCATTTAATAAACGTGTCGTTCGGGTTCGGGTCATCTTAAATAGGTTATTAAACATGTTACCTGGTTAATAACATGTTTACTCATTCCTAGTTTTTAATAGATTCGTACACTTGCAGATATTTATAATTAGATGATTAGCACATTAATTTGTGTCGTTAAAATTAAAAGAAAAAAAAATAATTCACATTAAAAAAAAGGAAGGAAACAGGGGACTATATTAATTTAAAAAAATTTTTTAAAAAAAACAACAACATCATGGCGTACTTTATGATTCCACAACTCTCCTATGGATCTCCCCTATTGAGTTTCACGCACTGCTTCTTGGGACTAATCACTTGAGCTTCCAAAAATCATTTTCTTAGCTTTAGCAAAACTTGGATCTCATTGTGCACTTTTACCCGGTCGATCCAAGGCCTCCAGTTGCTTTTGCATGTCATTAGAGTAAAAATCTACCATTTCCTCTTTTGGGTTTTCACGCACCACTTTTTGGGGCCCATCACTCGAGCTTCCAAAGATCACCCTCTCCCTTTTCAATTTTCGGATAATGCTCTGACAATCTTCAACCAAATTCCGTTCTACCACCAACTGAGCTCTTAGCAGTTGCACCTCATGGGATTTGACAATGAAGCGATGACCGACACTTGCAAATGATGCCGCACTTTGCATGCTCAGTGTCATGACATCACTTACCACCCGGTTATCATCTCATGTTTCCAGCACGCGCACATCCCTAGGAGTCACCAAACTCATCGCAACTCCAATGGCAATATCGTTGTTAAGGAGTAATGATTCGTTTATGGTAACTGGTCCTTGTGAGGAAGCAAAGCATCCACACTGGTGCAGCCCCTTGCCCCTCATGTATGCGTTGGTGGAGCTAGGTTTAGATCGAGACAAAATGGGAATGAAAATCCCATTTTATTTCTGAGTTTGATGAGATAGGTTTAGATCAAGAGAAATGGGAAGGAAGAAAATTGGTGAGATTTGCATTTTCTGAGTTGTGATCTTGTGTTTTCCCCTTGTTTCATTTTATAGACAAAAATGGGGGCCATTAAGGAAAGTCATCCCTAATTTCTACAAGTTTTGCGGGGGCTGCGTGGGGTTTGTGCGAGACATGTCTCTGTAGAGAGAGAGAGAGAGAGAGAGAGAGAGAGAGAGAGAGAGAGAAGGAATGAAAAAAGAAAAAAAAAAGAGGAGAGAAATTCTACTTTAAAAAACAGTTTGCAGAAACATTATAAATATCAAATGATGTAGCATATAATCACAAAGTTGTTTGGAGCATGGTGAATAAGGTGTTGGAGAGGAATGAAAATGACAAGAGATGCAACAGTTCTATAGATCATTTTATGTCTTTCAGTTTCTAGTGAGTTGAGTTTTTATTATGTGGAATTGATTTTGCTCACTCGCTTGGCATGATTTGTTTTATGTATCTTGATCTATTGTTTGTAAGAACCTCCATTCGAGTTGTCTTCTTTATATCTAATGAAATTTCCATTTCACATATAAAAGAAAAAGTTATCGAATGCATCAATGCACTACGTGCCATGCTGAGTGCATGAAATATGCTCAAATTATAATGAGTCTTGATTCATAATGTGGAATTTCACATTTAGATATCAACAATAATTCAGTATTATAATTGATTGAATTCGATATACAACACCGTATCAAATATATACACAATAATTTCTAATTGATATGTGGTGGCATGACAGAACACATGTACCATTTCATGCTTAGCTGTGCCCCTTGCTCATGCTCTTTACACCTCTTCCTTTTTTTTTGGTAAAATACACCGATAATTCCTTGTGATTAAGTGTGGGCATCGAGATTGTAAAATTGGATCACTAATCTGCATCGGACGAAAAAAATTGGATAAAAAATAACCGTGTTGACTAAAAAGTCAACAAATCAATTCCAAACCGGACCAGACCAGTTCAAATCGATTTTGGTGCCGGTTTCATACCTTACAAAATCATATCAGATTAGCTGTGCATTTTTTATTTTTTAAAATTTTATTTAAATCCAATGCTAAATTTCTAATCCGTAACTAATATTTCCCCAAGACCAACTTTAAAGCTACTCTCTTTTGTAGACCCAATCATCTCTCTTTGCATGAAACTGGGTCATTTGTGAATTAAGTCTAAAAAATAAAAACTTTATTGAAATTTGTAAAGAAATAATAATTTGAAAAATATATAATAAAAAAATCCAGTGAAAAAATAAACATAGCATCAGAACCGATTTAAACCGGACCCATTGATTTCATAAATTTTTTTTCACCAAAATAGACCGAACTGCACCAGTTGAATAATACCGATTTCGATTTCAGTGTGAAGTAGAGACGGAATCGGACTTGTGACTCGTACCAACAGTCCAACAAGTAATTGAAAAGAAAAAAAAGAGAGTAAAAGATAACCGTTTAATTACCCTCCAATTTCTTAACTAAATTATTAAAAAATCGAGCACAATTTCTTTGACCTCGGACTTTCATTAACATCTCTCCGAAACACGTAGACACAAGGCAAAGAGAGAAGAATCAGAGAAATGGAGAACCAATTGGTGGAGCTTTGCTTACAAGCAGCCTCTGTAAGCAGGGATAGCATCGAGAAATGGCGGAGGCAGAGACGGACACTCGAGCGCCTGCCTTCTCAGCTCGCCGACTCTCTCCTACGCCGCCTCATCTCCCGTCGCATCCTCTTCCCTTCCTTGCTCGAGTACGTTTCTCACTCTTTTTTTTCTTCTGTTTGTTTCCCGAGAAACTCGTGTCTAATCTATTCGATTACTTGCGCATGGAAATGAAATGGGTTGTGGGCATATGGTGTAGATTATTCAAACACAGCGTAGAGGAGCTTGATCTGAGAGGGGAGAGCTCTGTTGACGCCGAATGGATTGCATACATAGGAGCCTTTCGTTACTTGCGATCTTTAAATCTTTCTGATTGCCGTAGACTCACTACCTCTGCTCTTTGGCCTATTGCAGGTATTTCGATTTATGGCCTAAAATGTTGAAATTTTGATCAAGTTAGTGTATGCTAGCATTCATATAGAATTCTGTTTTGGAAAATGTCTTACATTTTGAAGTGTTTACTGGGTTTGAATTAGGGCTGGAGAGTTTGAGGGAGTTGGACCTTTCTAGATGCTCCAAGGTTACTGATGCTGGCATTAGGCATCTTCTAACTATTACAACTTTGGAGAAATTGTGCATTTCTGAAACTGGTGTGTCCGCAAATGGGGTTATGCTTCTCTCTTCACTTAGAAACTTGTCTGTCCTGGACTTGGGGGGTTTGCCTGTCACTGATCTAGCACTGAGTTCTCTCCAGGTAAATCTAGTTTTCAGTTGTTTCTTTGTGCACATGTTTTTGAAACATTGATTGATTGTAGTTCTCAATACTTGATTATGATTACATGTTTATGGAATCAAGTGAGCTCAAATTTCCTTGTGATGATTGGTGAACCTCACATTCAACATTATTTGACACTTGAATTTCTGTGACTGTCTGACTGTTTTTTGTTGGTATCCATTTGCTCGTCTTAGGCTGTCCCAGAAGTAAAGACTTGATATTTGTAAACGTTGCATTTGGTTGAAACTGCTGTAGTATATTTTTATGTGGTTTGAATAAGGGAATTTGGCCCTGATATCTTAGCAGCTGAACTTGATTTGTCTTTCTGTGCTGCCACATAGTTATCTGCTCGTTGCAACCATATATGGTTCTTGATTTCATCCAATGTTTTCTATGCTGCGTTTTATAGAAGTTGCTTACTGGATATCTACATTCTATCCACCCTTTCCATTTCATTTCTCAAGTTCATGTTTTGTAATGATTTTCCTCAGGTACTTACTAAACTACAATACCTTGACCTTTGGGGGAGTAAAATAACTGACAAAGGTGCTGCTTTTCTTCAAATGTTCCCTAAGTTGAGTTTCCTCAATCTAGCCTGGACCAATGTCACGAAGTTGCCAAATTTGTCATCCCTTGAATGTCTGAACATGAGTAATTGTACAATTAATACTCTACTTGAAGGAGATATTAATAAAGCTCCTTTAACCAAGCTTATTGTTTCTGGAGCTACATTCGGGGATGAGTTTGAAGCCTTCCATTATATTGAAACAACTTTTTTGACATTTTTGGATGTATCCAACTCTTCACTTCACAGATTCTACTTCTTATCTCATCTAAATTCTCTGGAACATTTGGATCTCAGCCGTAGTATGATAGGGGATGATTCCCTTGAACTGATTGCATGTATTGGAGTAAATTTGAAATATCTAAATCTTAGCCACACCAGAGTCAGCTCTGCTGGAGTTAAAACTTTAACCGGACATGTACCCAATCTTGAGTTTTTGTCAGTATCTCACACATCGGTGGATGATGTTGCCATTTCATATATGAGCATGATGCCATCTGTGAAGGTTATTGACTTGAGCAGTACGAACATTAAAGGTATGGGTTTATGATACAAATGCTAGATGCCTGGTTTTCTTCTTCAGTATGCAATGATAAGGATAGAAGGAGGCTTGAATAATCTGGTATCTAGTAAATAGGCTGTATGCTATTCTGTCTTCTCCATGTGGTTAGGTGCAATTATTTTGTAGTCCACTGCATACATAAAAATGAACAGTTTTCAGCTGCATGAAATTGAGACATAATATGTGTTTTTCCTTTATCAGGTGTCATTCACCAGGTTGGGCCTGAGTCAGATCCAGTCCTCTCTCTGTCAGCACTTCAAAGTCTCCAACATCTGGGACGGTTGAATTTGGTAGATACGCAAGTTACGGAGGCAGCTCTATACCCTTTAGAAAACTTCCAGGAGTTACGCGAGTTATCAATTAAAAGTGTTTCTCTTACAGACATCTCCTTTAACTATACGTCATCTATGCCAAAGCTGACAAATCTTCGCATTCATGATGGTGTTCTGACAAATTCTGGGCTCAATTCATATAAACCCCCCTTGACTCTAAGAATGATGGACCTGAGGGGTTGTTGGCTCTTAACCGAAGATGCAATCTTATCCTTTTGTAAAACTCATCCTCATATTGAAGTAAGGCATGAACTTGTTCATATCTACCCGTCCAAGCAGATTGTTTCTAATAGTGCATCTTCTTCACGATCAACTTTAAAGGCTTCACAAGCGAAGCAGAAGCAGGAAGTATCCGTGTTGCCATGCTTTTTAGGTAGAATTTATATAATATCAACATTGTGTTTTTTTTTCTAAAAATGGCAGTAGCATATTTTTATGCATCATCTAACCTCATTCCTAAATTTTATGAACCAGATCAAAGATTGAAGTATAGCAGAGAGGAGCTACTTGCGCTACAGTATTCATCGGTATCCCGTGCTCCTCCTCATGATAGGGACGTTGTATTATCTAACACACAATCAGATTGAACCGGAGCAGTTCCGACAGTTCCATGCAGATTAGTTGCCATGCTTTTGCGCTTGTGTGCTATACTTGTCTACCATCATATCGTATACTTGGTACACAATTGCACTATCCTGTAAATCATAGCATAGCTAAGATCCTTTTTCTGTTTCTTTTCCAAAGATGGCCACAAGCCACTTTAGAAAATGAGATTGAGTGAGTCGACAATGTGATATATTGAACTGATAGATGTGGATGTGTAAGATGAATTTCCTGATAACAGAAAGCGACGCGCCGCTTTGTGGTTTGTCCTTTTGTATTTTCCATGTGTATGCCATATGACTCATATTGTCTTATTGTTTTGAGATCTTACTTCTTGAGGAACATGTTGCCCCATTGTTCATCTTTTTTCTCTAAAACTTTTATGTGCACTGGATGTGTAAAAGGAATTCCCTTATCATCGGCATGCTTGTGTCGAAATTTCTAACATTTGGCCAACTATAAATTCCCACACCCTGGGCCAGAATTGTAGAATTATTTTATTTAACTTTTATTTTCCATTTTTGTTTTTGGTACACAAGGAAACACCTTATTTCTAGATTAAAAAATAGAAACCGACAAGTCAAACTGCGGAGCTAGTCGTCAAAGCCAAAAGACCGATGGATTAAGTCGAAAAATATGGTGGTTGGACATTGGAATTTTATTTTATTTTTATAAATACAAGCGATGAGGATAGAAGAATTGAACATTTTTAAAACAAACTGATGTGCCAACATGACAATTGCTTATTGGTTGTAAATAAATCATATTCAAGGTGGGTTTTTAAACTTAAACATAAACAAATTATTGGAATTTAAAATGTTTGTATATAATTCAGAAAAAAACCAAAAAGTTTGAATATGACATTGTTGCCTCTAGGGTTATTCCAAAAGAATATCGCAGCAAATTGATCAAGAGAAAAATCAAAGTTAATGGTTTAGCTCATTTGCATAAAACATATATCTGTAGTTTTCTAAAGTACATCCAAATTCGGTACACAAACTATCAGGTGTACAAATAAGCGTATGTACAGTCACAAAATAAACTAGAATTGCGTTTGTCAAATTGAACAAGGTCTTCAGGCTCCTCAAGTAAATCTTTCAGGCATTAGGGCTTATTTTGCACTCTTGTACATGTTATCAATGATTTCCTGTGCATAAAAAAAGTTTCAGTCAGCACTTTCACCCAAATCAATATACTTTTCTATTTGTAAGAAGTAACCAAACAAACAATTACTCATAGAAACTAATCACTGTATAAGCATCCATTAATGCAGCAATCCATGCAATAAAGACTTTGAGCAGAGAACAACGATTAGAAATGAAGGCATCAGGAACAATTGGCAACCTATTGTGTAACAACACACAAATTAATGGGAATTTTCGTACATCTAAACAGATGATGATCTATGCAACAGGGACAACAACTATTACAATCTTTCCCATCCTGGCTTCATGTGTCATAATGGATAGACAGGCATAAACCATGTATTGACGCAGTCACTGAACATAAGTAATGTTAGGTCCTTATATCAGATACCGTGCGATGAAGCTAAGAATATATTTTAACTGTGTCAATGTGATGCCGAAATTACAATGACTGTAGTATAAATCAAGTAGTGTACATCAGATTACCATAGTGGTACAGGTGTGTTAACCACACCTTTCACGTTACGTGCATTGTTAATACAAGTATTTAGAAAAATTCCTAGAGGAAACAGGATAAGAGGTACCTTATAGTATTTAAGCAACTGGGGTCTCTTCTTCTTGTATGTTGGAGTGATAAGGTCACGCTCCATGTCAAATGGTTCTGGGTCGAGATGAACAGCTTTTATAACCTCAAAGCCTTTCAACTGCCACAAACAACACAATAGAATCACAAAAAGCTTCAAAAGATTTTCCAACAGCCAAAAATAAGTGTGGCCCATGACTAAACATTTAAGGTACTCAAATTGAGAAAGCAGAAACCTTTTTCTCTTTAGCAATCTTATTGAGCTCTCCAAGTACGTATTCTTTCACCCTTGTATGTTCACAGAGAGAATTGAAATCACCAGATACACCGTTTTGTTCAGCCCAACTTTCAATTGCTTGCTTGTTAGGATTAACTACTGCGATCAGGAAGGACTCAAAGCTGTTCCCATAAACCCATATCTAAATTTGACCAAAACAAATTAAAAATCATCAGACTAAGTATAAATTCATATCAAAATTGAGAGAATGAACTCTTAAGTCATCAGACTAGTGTATCCTTCCAGCAGCTAAAACAACTCTCTCTTTCTTTCACACAAAGATAGCTGACAACCTTTCAAGCATAATATTGCATTTAATGTATGTATCAATTTATCACACAAGTCATTATATCTAGAAGAACATTTTCTATTTAATAAGGTGGATGAGAATGAAAGGCAGAAATAAAATATTTTTGAAATATAAATACAAAAGAAGAAAGGCATACCGCATCGATATCAGAAACAAGTCCATAAATATTCTCCAAGTTTTCAACTGCAACATACTCTCCTTGTGAAAGCTTGAAAATATTCTTCTTGCGGTCAATGATTTTCAAGCTTCCATCTGGTTGCCACTCACCAACATCACCTAATATAAAGATAATTTTAGGCAAAGTTGAATGTTTCCAATCAATGACATGAGAGCCATACCATACTACAAAATACATCAATATGGACAAACCTGTATGGAACCACCCATCGATCATGACCTCTCTGGTGAGGTCCTCACGTTTGTAATATCCTGAAAACAAAGTGTTTCCCTTTACACATACTTCTCCACGCGGTGTATCTGAAAGGGCATCGTACCCCATTTCAGGGACAGATTCTAGGCATACATCCACATTTGGAACTGGAGGACCCACTGTGCCAAGCATTGACAGTTCATTTGGCAGTGACACAAACGTTCCAGCACAAGTTTCTGTCAGACCTGCAATAATGTTGATATGGAAAAGGCTATCAATGTAAAAGCAATGCAGAAAGACTCAATAAAGCCATTGAGAAAATGAAAACTAGCTTTTATAACCCCATGAAAATAACTGTTGAAGATAGCTTTACCATATCCTTGTAGAACATGAGCGCATGCCACCACTCGTAAAAAAGTTTCTACATGAGTAGAAAGAGGAGCAGCTCCAGACAAAATAAGCCGCACCCTACCGCCCAACCCTTGCTTTACCTGAAGTTGTCAGAGTATTAATGAGACTCAATTGAGTAAGCAGAATAGGAACACAATCATAGTTCATATCAATGAAGCATGTTGAAGGGGAAGAAAAAGAAATATTTCCCCACCTTACTAAACACAATTTTGTCAGCAATTGGAGAAGCATTCCCATGTGCATGCCCCTTTTGCATGTTATGATACTTGCTGCAGAAACAGAGAAACACAAAAGGTTGTAATAAAAACTATTATGTTATCTACTGCCATTAAAAGCATACGTATTTGATGTCTACTTGGAGCCTAAATTTCAAGTAGGGGTAGGGGTAACTAAATTTGCAGCGAATCCACATGTTGTAGTATATGCATAGCAAACAAATAGATAAGATATTTTAGGGAAAAGAAATAATTATCCACATGCAAGTATAAAATATCTTGTTTACAAAGTAAGAAGCATATGGGAGTAAGGGATAAGATCAAACACAGATTTAAGCTTGTTTTCTCAATAAACACATGCACAAATTCAATAATAAATTATATTTTACTAATTATCATAAGCAAAGAATGGCACTTACTATGAATATGCAAAATTGAACATTGTCTTTTTCACGATACCCCCTGTCGCAATCCTCTGTGTCAAGCCTGGAAATGCACATGGCAATTATAGAGCGTAATAGTTGATATAGTAAATTATTGTGGATTCATTTGATGATATAATTGCATCAATGAGTAAGAAGCCTCAATTCCGTGGCTAAAATCATGCACAGTCAAACAGTACCTGCATAGATCCTGTCTAATACACGAGGAACAGCACAGAAGATGGTCGGTTTCAGCTCCCCAATGTCTTCAGTCAATAATTTGACATCCTGCATAATAAGAAATAAGGTAATATCAGGTTTGAATTTACGGTTAGAGAAGAGCAACGAGTAATTGTACTCACCCCACGCCAGAACCCTATTGAGGCGCCAGTCCAGATAAATAACTCCTCAATCACGCGATCGAAGATATGTGCAAGAGGAAGAAACGAAAGATATACATCCTTCTCGCTCAACTTTTAAAATGAAAAAGAAAAATATTTTGTAAAAAGTCAGCATCCTTAAAACGAAAGTAACCAGATCATGTTCTCACAAAATAAGATATGTAAGTAGAGAGATGAAAAGGAAATCACCTGTTCATTTACACTCTCTAGCAAGCGCTTAACCCCTGCCAGAAGTGTAATGATGCTATCATTGGATATCAATACTCCCTTGGGGTCACCAGTTGTTCCACTAGTATACATTATAGTGCAGATATCACTTTTCTTTTTTACTGGAAGATCAAAATCTTTATTATCTCCCTGCAGGAACAGATCTAAAACTTAAACCAGAAAAATGAAAATGACTGATCTTCTGGAAATCTGTAAATAACCAAACTATGCACGAAACACGACAATTACAGCCAGACATCCCTGCCTTGAACACAATACACATTATTTTGATTAGAAGTTTGGCAATTCCACATAGATAGAGAAGCACCATTTGCAACTTTTAAACCACGTTCGGCCGACTGAAGGGGAGTACTTCCATTAAAAAATTCACAAATAATTTCTTCATAATAGTGATCTAGAGGTCTTTGTCCTTCTTTTCCTTTCAGATAAATTTCTTTGGTTCACCAATATGACTTATTACACGAGAAGAGGACTGGGAGATCAGATAGAACAACCCACCAGTTGCAGAAACTCATTCCAAGAATATAATGCTACTCCATACTTCTCAAGTGTTTCCTTTTGTTCAGGTGTAACCTTGCCAAAGCTCACAAGTGCTACATGATTAAAAGAAGAAAAAATAAAGAACATAAAGAAGTTATTTTACTGACAACAACAGACACCTACCAAGGAATCTTGAAAAATATGAGAAATATGCAGCAACTTACTCTTCAGATGCTTAGCCGCGTTAGGAAATGTTTTCAACAGCTGAAAGAGAAAAATATACAGTACACATAAGAGAACCGGAATGAGCAGTCAAAGCTTAAAAATGCCTTTACTCTCAAACCAACTAGCATTTTTTAGGCTATGATTGTCAATATTCGACCTTTGTTGTAAATATAATATGACAGCAGTTTTCTCCAATGTGCCAC